ATCGGATCCACTGTTTCCTGTATCCCATGTCTTCCTGCACTTGGTTTATTCTTTCATTTTGCTAGAGGAGGTTCTCAAGTATTTTTCAAATACATGCATGGAAAATAGATGGTCTGAGTTTCCTAATGCCTTCTAGCATCCTGTGCGTTACTCCTGAGAAGTTTGATGCCACCCTGAGTCTCATTTGTGGGCACAGAATGGAGCAGATGAGTGAAGTCAACCACATCCAGCCCTTCTGAATATGTGTGTGTGTGTGTGTGTGTGTGTGGGTGTGTGTGAGGTTGTGGGTGGGTGTGTATGGGAAGGAGGTTGGCAGGGAGCATGAGTAAAGAGGCAAGGGCGGTATTTCCTGGAGGAGCTGGTCTTAAATTTAGGATGCATGCAGGTGTGGACCCCTTGGCTGTCCCACTCTGTTCAAGAACTCCAAATGTTGGTTTGAGGTCAGTCTGCAAGGTGATTTTCAGGGATATCCCCCAAGGCTTTAACCTCGTATTGCTCTGGTCACAGTGACAGGCCGATAGAGGTACCTGAGAGGCTAGGCAGAGAGGCTGAACATAGCAGGGACCGTGGTCCATCTCCTAGCCAAGTCCAGAGAACCAGTGATGTAAGTGTTGGATACCAGCAATGGCTCAATGTCAGTGTGAGTGAGAACAAGGATTTTTTGACTGTTGGATGAACATGGATGATTGCCAAAGAATTTAGTGGGGTTCCAGGTTGCATTAATAAAGAGATGACCTCCAGGGACCCACTCAACTTTATAATGAGGCAGTTCATAACTAGAGTATCTGGTTCTTATCTGGGTATACATTGTTAATTTAGTGAATTTCTCATCCTTAAATGTTCATTTCAAATGCCCCCTTTTTACATAGCTTTCCTTGATGCGTCCCTTGCCCGTAGTTTATTATTTTCTTTGTTCTTGGTCTTTACTTACTTACCATGTTGCCGTAGTATACATCTCTCTCTGTTGAATTGAGTTCTCCAAGGGTACTCAGACAAGTCACTTACTCCCGGTGACTGTGAACCTGAAATAGGGACAGTGGTGTTGCCTCCACTGTTGTCACTGGGCTTGGTAAAGATCAGGTGTGTTGCATCTTAATTTTATTTTTTATTATATTTAATAAATATATCTGTTTGCTTCACAAACAGCAAATGGGAGATGGCATTATTTCCTGTCCATTTGTCAATGTAATGAATAATAGGCTCAAATTAGCAAGCCAGTTAAGCAGCTGTAGCATCTGGGTATCATCCCCACCCCGATGTGCCCTGATGTGCCCTGAAGTTCTCAGTGGGATAAAAGCTTGCTATTTGTTCTCTGGCGTCTTCAGCACGGCGGCCTTCTTTGGAGCTTGTTCTTGGACCTCTCCTCCCTAAAGTGAGCTGTCCCTGCTCAGCTGGGCTGTCACACAGCTGCAGCCTGTTTTACTCTAGAGGCTGAGATTGAAGAATTGGGCAGGAACTTCTCAAGACAACTTGGTCTCTCAGCACCAGACGTGGCCTGACTCAGTCTGGGATTTGCAGACTTGGGTTCTGGGAACTACACTGTATTTGCACTAATGGAACCAAAAGGGGTTCCTTCAGTACAAAAAGCCTGCTTCCCCTGCCGCTGGACAGTCACTGAGCCACTGCATGCTGGGGCAGTTGGACACTGGCCTGCCACAGTCTGACGGACATGCAGGTCTGCTGGTCCAGGTCCTTGCACAGACTATCAGGATCTCAACACCACGCCTGACCAAGGGTGCTTGAGACTGAGGGTCCCTCTCCATTTATACTCCTGGGCACAGCCATTGACCTCAAATCCTGAGGCACTGGGTCCCAGAAACTAAACTTGGGTGGGGTGGGGTGGGGTGCTCCCAGCATACTGTGCCAAAGCCAGCCCTCTCTGAGTGACCCTCCCTCAAATCCTCTTTTCAAGCCTGGCTTCTCAGCCTAGACTCCTTTCCTCGAAGCCATTTTATTCAAGGAGACTTACTGCTCTTTCCCAGCACTGGTTCTTGGCCTGAGACATGCAGGATGCCCCTACTTGAGTCCTTAGCATCAAGTCTGGGACACCAGGAGTTCAGGTTTCTCGTCCTTCCTTTTAAGAAGGCTGCTTATGCATTGAGTCATCCCTTCCTGGTGACCAAGCTTTACATACCAGAGATCTCAGTCATAAGGGTCTTTGGGAATCTCTGGGCTGTGGGTACCAGCTCATCCTGTATTGGCTTAACTAAGTCACCCCTTAGATGACTGCACATAGAAAAGAAGTTTGGCTTCCTTTGATTAAAATATCATACCCAGCATAAGTAGGGCACAGCTGTAGACAATAGGGAATCTGGAGGAGACAGCCTAGATTGGAGAGATGGCCTGGCTATGTGCATGGTATACATGGGTGAATCGTGTGAAATATCCCGGGGCCTCCAGCAATGGCGAGATGTTGAGGAGAGAGCAGGAAGCTGTGGATGGAGGGAAGGAGACCTGCTGCAGCCATGAAATAACTCCGGGTGACCTTGAGCAGCCTCCTTTGCTCTCTGAGCTCCTTGCTGCGGCAAGGTCTGTGCACCCGTGTGGGTGGGTGCTGTGCGGGGGATTCTGTCATCAGAACAGTGGACTATGTAGCCCTGGACAGCATCTTCCAAGTGTGAGACTCTGAAAAATGATGAAATCAAGGCCGTGAAACTTTCCATCTCTGCATGAAACTGCCTCTTGGAATCTTCCGTTGTGCCCAGGACATGGCTCTCCACAGACACCCCACTTTGGACGTGTCCCTTTAGTGTTCATCCAGTTACCCCTCTTCAGCTTCTTCTGGTTTACTTCTCTCCTCTCTCATACTCTGTATTTTCTTCTCCAGCTTTTGAATCGAAAAGACAAGACCACCTTTGAGAAACTGGACTACCTGATGTCCAAAGAAGATAATTACAAGCGGACGCGGGAATACATCCGAAGCCTGAAGATGGTTCCCAGTATCCCCTATCTAGGTAGGAGTCTGAATTGGCTTATTATTTTTTAAGAAACTTGCTCAGTGCCAAATAAGATGTTTTTACAGTTTCTAGTTGGGAAATTTCCAGCAAGCAGCATGGGCCATGGATAAAGAGGTTAACTGGTGGGCTCCTTGGGTTGGAACAGGCTGTTGATGCTTCCCAAGGGCGGGAACTGGGATGAGGGCCTCGAAAACCAGGGACACTCTCCTTCTGTACGAGTGACCTGTGAGCCCCCAGGCCCCCGGCCTGCCTCCCGGAAGGGTCCCAGGATTCTTGCTGGTTCATTCACATCCTCCCACACTGGCGGAACTCAGGCCTCTGCTCTGGGTCTCTGGGCATTATTAATACATTTAATTATAAGAATTATATCAATAAGATTATTGAATTTTCTGATTAGAAAATAGCAAATGTCCATTGTAAGGAATTAGGAAGAAAGAAAATTAATATCATGTGTTATCCCACCTAGACATAATAACTATTTTGCCTTATATCCTTTTGTTCATTTACTTGCGTATGAAATTAATCTAATATTAAGTTGTTTCTACATTTTTACTACTAAAATTTTGCAGTGAATATTCTTGTTGCAAAAACTTCCACATACAGTTACTATTATTACCTAACAATAAAATCCTAGAAGTGTGATTGTGGGTCAAAACTTATGCAAAATTATATGCCTTTGTATATATATTTTCAAAATGATCTCTATCGAAGCTGTAACAACTTTTACCTTCATTGGAATGGGATGAAATTGCTTGTTTCCCTTCTCCATGTGTACAAATACAGTTGAGTATGACTTTAGGCTATGCAGGTCTCCTTATATGCAGAATTTTTTCAATAAATGCACTAGAAAGTTTTTTGGAGATTTGCAGCAATTTGAAAGAACATTTTCTTTTCTCTACCTCAATTTGTTATGAGAATACAGTATTAAGATGTTTTTACAGTTTCTAGTTGGGAAATTTCCAGCAAGCAGCATGGGCCATGGATAAAGAGGTTAACTGGTGGGCTCCTTGGGTTGGAACAGGCTGTTGATGCTTCCCAAGGGCGGGAACTGGGATGAGGGCCTCGAAAACCAGGGACACTCCCCTTCTGTACGAGTGACCTGTGAGCCCCCAGGCCCCCGGCCTGCCTCCCGGAAGGGTCCCAGGATTCTTGCTGGTTCATTCACATCCTCCCACACTGGCGGAACTCAGGCCTCTGCTCTGGGTCTCTGGGCATTATTAATACATTTAATTATAAGAATTATATCAATAAGATTATTGAATTTTCTGATTAGAAAATAGCAAATGTCCATTGTAAGGAATTAGGAAGAAAGAAAATTAATATCATGTGTTATCCCACCTAGACATAATAACTATTTTGCCTTATATCCTTTTGTTCATTTACTTGCGTATGAAATTAATCTAATATTAAGTTGTTTCTACATTTTTACTACTAAAATTTTGCAGTGAATATTCTTGTTGCAAAAACTTCCACATACAGTTACTATTATTACCTAACAATAAAATCCTAGAAGTGTGATTGTGGGTCAAAACTTATGCAAAATTATATGCCTTTGTATATATATTTTCAAAATGATCTCTATCGAAGCTGTAACAACTTTTACCTTCATTGGAATGGGATGAAATTGCTTGTTTCCCTTCTCCATGTGTACAAATACAGTTGAGTATGACTTTAGGCTATGCAGGTCTCCTTATATGCAGAATTTTTTCAATAAATGCACTAGAAAGTTTTTTGGAGATTTGCAGCAATTTGAAAGAACATTTTCTTTTCTCTACCTCAATTTGTTATGAGAATACAGTACATAACATATATAACATACAAAATATGTGTTAATTGTTTATGTTATTGATAAGGCTTCCCAGTCAATAGTAGGTTATTAGTAGTTAAGTTTTTGGGGAACCAAAAGTTATACAGGCATTTTTGACTGCACGGGGGGTTCTGCACCCCTAACCCCTATGTTATTGGAGGCTCAACTCTACTGTGTATTTTCTCGTCCTTTGTAAATTTTTTCTTTCCCTTTTCTTTGTTTGCCAATTTCATAGGTGAAAAATACTTCTTGTAGTTTGGGTTTCACAGTTATGCTAATTTTATGAAAAAAATTCTTTTTATACTCTAAAATACTATCAATAACAAGGAAAAATAAGGTTTTATAGAAGTGACCCCTAATATTTTTAGAAATCTTGCACAATTTTTTGGAGGTATATTTTGATATTTTAAATGCTTTCCATGAGCATTGTTTATTTAGATTTCCTAATTTTTATAAAGCCAATTTAGAAAATTTAATTTTAGTAGGGAATTGCCCATTGCATCCAAGTTTTCAAAATTGTTAGTGTGGAGTTTTTTTCCTCATTAGTTATTTTTGACCCTAGAATTTTATATGATATTCTCTTATATCACTTAACTTCCTGTGTATGTATGGTTATATTGGCTTTGTGATCCTAACAGTTTGCATTTTTGTTTTCTCTTTTTTAAATTGGCTTTTCAGAGGTATGCCTGTTGGTCTTTCCAAAGAATTTGACTTCGTGTTTTTTCAGTCACACTGTCTTTCTAATTGACTTCATTTCCATCAGTTCAGGATGAAGTTCTTCTCTCCACATTTTAACACTTTGAAAATTGGGCTCCACCTTTCAATTGACAGTAACAAAGCATTGTGACATGGTTAAACCGGCAGCAGTTTTTCTCAGTGATACGTAAAATAGTGGTATGATTACACTAGATGACATCCTAAGTTTGATGAAATACAGCATTTCCATTTTTGTATTTATAATTCATTTCTCCTGCTTTCCTTAAGTTGTTTTGTTATTTCTATTAACTATTTCAGTAGAATTATGGGCTCATTTGTATGTATATTATTATTTCCACTCTGATTTGGAAAACAGGTGTATATTTTCCTCTAATTGCTGCTTTTGTTGTACCCCACATGCTTTGATATCTGGTGTTCTCAGTGATAGTCTTGAAATGTTCTTTAATTATCTTTTCAGTGTTTCTTTAATCCAAGTATTATTTATGGCAGTGTTTTTTTCATTTTCAAGGGCTTGAGTTTTCTGTTTTTGTTTTTCAAATGGCCTTATTGAAATATAAGTCATGTGTCATCCATTTAAAGCGAACAATTCAATGGTTTTTAGTATATTCACAGAGTTGTGTGACTGTCAGCACAACTTTAGAACATTTTTATGCCAAAGAGAAACCTGTACCCATTAGGAGTCACTCTCTTTTCCTTGTAACCACCTCCCTCCCACCTCCCCGCCCTCAGCTCTGGTCCAACTCTAATATACTTTCTGACTCCAGAGACTGGCTTTTTCCAGACATTTCATATCAATTGAATCATACGGAAGGCGGTCTTCTGTGGCTGGCTTCTTTCCCTTAGCATCGTGTTCTCAAGGTTCATTCATGTTGGAGCATGATCAGAACTTCATTCCTGCTTCTTGCCGAATAATATTCCATTGTATGGTTACACCACACTTGATTTATCCATTCATCATTTGGTGTACATTTGTGTTGTTTCAATTTTGGCTGTTCGGCATACCACCACTATAGTTTTTAAAAACTGTGGTTTTGGTTTTTAAAAACACAGTCTTTCTAATTTTCTTGCATTGGTATAGAATATGTGACATATATATATACTTTTTAGTTTTAAAACATGTTTAATATTTGTCTTGTGGCTTAATATAAGATCAGTTTTTTAAGCTGTTTCGTAGGTGCTGGAAAAGAAGGTATAATCTCTCAAATTACCCTTATAATTATAATATTCAAATTATTGATTTTTGACAACTTGGTCTGTCAAGCACAGAAATATATGTCAGAATCCCCTGGCATTTCTAGTAGCGTCTGCCTTACATTATTTAGTATATTGAAGTTTTGTCAGTTGTCAAGTGGCGTCTATACAAAATGATCTTGATTCTGTTTGTTGTTTTTATTTTTTTTTGTCTGGTACTAATTCTGTGAAATCAGCTTTATTTTTCCTTTGCACTCATTTTATAAATCTTCGAATATATTTGGGGTTTTACTTTAACTTGCTTTGTTTTAGGTGTGATCCTTGAAGACAGCACTTAGTTGGACCCAGCATGCGAGACCTTGCCTTTTAGTAGAAGAGTGTAACTCTTTCACATTTGTTTAGTCTTATTTCATATTATTGAATCGCATATCATTCTCTGCTTTCTATTTTAATGCTTTCTTAGTCTTTCCTTGTTCTCTTCTTGCTGTAAACTGTAGTATCTTTATCTACCTGGACTGGACAGTCACTCTCTGAGATCTAGAGATGGAGAGCGTGTGATCTGCACAGCTCCCAAACCCATCCCCCTTGACCTGAAGCCCATCAGTTGACGGGGGAGACTCGTGGCTTTGGGTGAGGGCAGCCTAGCGCAGCCCACTGGCTCGGCCTGCAGAGGTGTTCCAGGGCTGTTCAGCATGGCCGCTTCTCTCGTGCGAGGATGATCTTGAGAGCTGCCACTTACTGTCTGCTTTCTCTGTGCCTGGCACTTTGCTAGGCATTTTGATCATTGTCTCGGTTGAGTGCTCCTAGTAGCCCACTGAATAGGCAAGGACTGAGAGGTTGCCTAGGGTCACATGGCTAGAGAGTGGCAGAGCCAGGACTCGCCCAGATGGTCTGGCGCCCTCTCCTGGTTCCCCACCTCCACTGTCCGAGTCATTATTTTCCTAATGATCCCTTGCGAGTGCCCCCTGTGTGTCCTTTGCTGTTTATGACTTGTGGGTGGCCTCCATCAAGCACTGTATGAAGTGGGATGAATTGTCTTGCCTCATTCTTGCAATAGTCTCTGATCTTGGACCACAAAGCTGTTTTGGGCTTCAAGGGCATTGGTCAGTGGGTCTCAACCCAGGGCAAACTGGACTAATACCATCTCTCCTTTCTGAGCTGTGCCCCTTGTCATCAGGCCAAGTGTATGTATGCCAGATGCCTCCTCTTTGGATGAGTCACCTCCTCAGGCCACTGGCCAGAGGCCCCTGTGTGTCACCATGATGGCTCTTGGCAGGCCTCA